CACACACACACACACACACACACACACACACACACACACACACACACACACACACACACACACACAGGAATGCGTGCTTACACAGACATATGCCACAATGCAGCTCTTTTATTTTGCTTATGTCCACAAAAGGAGGTGACATTACTGATTTTGGATTTTGTGTTGGAAATGGGACATAATACCAAAAAATATAGGTTTATTAGATGCAGATCTTATGAAGAGGGAGTTTTGTGGAAATATTATGAACAGTTAACCTCTTAACTGTTGTAGAAAGCTTTCTGCAAAGCCTCATTTTGCAGCAACAGCCTAACTCTGATCAGATTTATGAGCTAAAGGCTAGTCCAAGCTATTGTTGCTATTTYTTTAATTTCAAACATTTTATAGCAGATTGTTTAATTGCTAATTTGGAAATCTGTACTTCACATTTAAATTTGCATTACATTATTACTCTGCTGCTGTTTGCCATAGAACCAAGGTTCTCAAATTGGGGTCCCAGGACCCCCAGGGGCCCTTTAGCCATAGATTGGAGGTCCTCCAAAAATTACAAAGAATTTTGTTTTTTGTTTTTAATGCAGAAATGCATATGGGGAACAATGAGCTGGTAAAACAAGCATACTAAACCAAACAAAAAATTATATACTGTATACTCTCATGGCATTTAGAATTTAAAATGCCAGTAAATTATTTTTGCATCAGCATGAGCTTTATGAAGGAGTCCCTGGAAACATTTCACCCCTGTAAGGGGTCCTCAGACCCAAAATGTTTGAGAACCCTTGCTCTGGAAATTATCATAATGTTATCTGTAAATAACAGTAACATATCAAGATTAACACTGATGTAAAGATTGAGGTTGTTTTTGGATGACAACAATCCACTTTGGTAAAGTCTGGTCAGAATTAAACTGTTTTTATCTTCAGTATGTAAACTCTTAATTGTTCCTAACTATTCCATAGCAGCCCACTTTAAAAGATTTGACCTATACCATTTGCTTTTCCTTAAATTTAATCTAGAAAAAAATACACACTTTTCATCTCCTGTTCTTTCTGTCTCCTCTACCTCAGGGGTTCGGCTGGATCGTGTGCGAGGGGGCAGACAGAAGTACAAACGGAGGCTGGACACAGAAAACAACCCGTACCTGGGTTTGACGCTTCCCCCTCCTACCAAAAAGCCCCGTGAGTACTGCTCCGTCACTAGCCCATTGTCTCCTTCTTCTGTTGCCAGCATGCAAGTAAAGCTGAGGCACAGTTCTAGGCCAGGCTCATGTTCCCCTGTCACCCCCGGGTTTGGACAGTTGGTGGGAAATATAGGCCATGCATTGTTCCGGTCAGAGCTGAATTATGTTAAGTCTCTGAGCAGATGACCGACATTAAACAACTACAGACTACTAGAGGGTGTAAATATAATTTACTCATGAAAACTAGTTATAAACCTAATTTATAATATATATGATCATTCTATTTGGGTTTATCATATTATCGTGTTTATCATTGACCCTGTGAGTACTGCGACCTCTGACCTCTGTTTTTCTCCTGCACCCCTGCTCCTCCTCTTTCTGTTTCCAGTCACAAAGATAGTGTCTCACCTGTTGGTAGCAGAGCCAGAAAAGATCTATGCTATGCCTGACCCCACAATGCCAGAGAGTGACATCAAGGCTCTTACGACGCTGTGTGACTTGGCTGACCGAGAGCTGGTGGTCATTATCGGTTGGGCTAAACACATCCCAGGTAATGTTTCTTCCTGTTATAGCCAAGTTTAAAGAGCTGCAAACCAAATATTTACACTTAGAAAATTATTAGAAGCATCACCCTTGGATGTGAGGAGGACTGAGAGTGTGAGTGAGCCACGAGGGGAGTGTTGTATGAAACAAATTTAATAAAGTGTTTCAAAAATCACTGTATTGACAGCGATCCAGACCAGTGCACTGTAAGCTGTGATCACCTGGGAAATTTAAAATAAAGTTTGGGACTTGCCCAATCAAATAAGACATCATATCGCACACACACATATCCACATATGCACACATGAATGCACACAGGAGCAAGAACCCACAAGCAGCCGTTGAATTATTGATGAGCATAATCATGTTTCTTCCTTGCCCCATAGACGTTGTGATAGACGAGGTGTTAGGTTATAAGAGGCTGTTGAATTAAGGACACACCGCTGAGAATACACCACCTCACGTCAGCAGAGATTTTGCTTCCTTCAAGAGTTTTCCTCTGATTTTGACAGAGAACATGTTGTTTAGCTGCTCCTTTTTTTCGCAACCCAGGCAGATTCTGCTTGATCTTGACGCTTGACCCTTATAACTCTAAAGCATCACGACGCTGTTGCCATAAAGGAGTAACAAAATAAATGAATGTGTCCCTCAGCGGCAGCTCCATATCTTCCTCCTCTCATCAGCATAACTTGAACAGGCACACAGCTGTCAGTGTGCAGGATATGTGCAACGTCACTGCAACACCGGTCTGTGCACTATCACTGAAACACACAAATACAGACGCAGCCAAACATTTGTCGGTTAATTCAATCATTCAAATTTTATTTCATGGATTACAATTTTAAATAAAATCAGGTGGAAATTAAGCTGACCTTTTTTATAGTGCTGAAAAGGTATTAGAGTGCTTCTCAGAAGGAAGGGTATTAATCAGGTACAGATCTGATAGTAAGGAGATTAGAGGTGGATATGCTCCCAGTGCCTGGCCTCAGCACCGGTGCCTTACACATCTAAACTGTTTGGATCACTCTCCACATGGCCGTGCATGGTCAGCAGCCTGAGAGTTTAACCAAGGAGCTTACTCAGAACTGGATCACAGCTGACCCGATAACACACTCCCATTGTTGTGACCCAAAAACTACTCCAGCGCCACAAATGTGCACAAAAATCCCACGAGAGCAGAACAGTGCAACGTGGAAGCAGCGTTTTACGAGACACCGACAGAAAACAAAGAATGGGCATATGCTCAAATGGTTTACTGCAACTTATTTTCGTAGTCCTATTTGATAAGTAATGTATTTAAAAAGTACTTTATATGCACTAAACCTTATACAATGAAGTGTTCAAGGTTTTATTTTAAAGTAATTTTGATAACATAGAGTTTTTTATGTGTAACCAACACATAATGTACAGTGTGGATGTTTTCTGACAGGTTTTGCCTCAGATCTGTAAATAACGCTTTTTTCGCCCACACTTTAAGGCTGTAAGCCCATTACATTTTCTATTTCTGAGCAGGTACCTGCAACTTAAATAGTGCACAGAATAATCTGTATTACCTGTGAGATAATAGCCTATAAGAAGATTATTTTGATCTGTTTTTGTGTAAACAAAACCCTCACACTAATGCATTTGTTCCACATTTTCTCTCTTTTGAATTTTGTCTTTGTTACATCAAACATGCTTATTTTTAATAAATGATAGTTTAAAATACAAAAAGCCCCCCCTCACCAGCTAAGTGCTCAGTCTGCGTCCGTCCCTGTGGTGGCGTTTGTATTAGGACACTGGGTGTCCTCTGGCCATGAAATGGCTGCATAATTGAGTTGTACATGGCTGAACCTGATCAGAGACGGTTCACTGGTTGAGCGAGACTCCATGCACTAACACTCCATGCATCAACGGTACCCCAGGCAGTCTACCATGCTCAGCTCCTGCTTTATTTCTCCCTCTTCATCCACTACAGGACAAGACAGGAAACTAGAAAAAAAACTGCTGATTGCGTTCTGATGGATTTTTGTGGCCTTGGGCGATGGAATTAAAAAGATTAAYAGTTCATTATGAAGTAGAGCACATTGATTAGGGCACTTACAGATGGGCCTATAACTAGAGTCTAAATGCAACAGTTTAAATGTCGCAAAAATTGGCACTTAGCTTCTCCCAGTTGRTTTTTAATTTCTTCTATTCATAGCTAGCCTTGCGAAATGTGTTTAAAAATTGGCATAATGTGGAAAAGAATGGCCCTACTGAATGTTAACGTGAGGGCGACTGGAAGATAAGAACGCTGATGATACCTTTACCTTGGAGGGTCCAGTGTCAGCTTTGTTTTCTTGTTTGTGAAAGATCATTTTACATACAAGAAGCTCTTTTCAGGTGTTAGTTTCTTCAGTAATTTAGATAAATAATCAAACTGCTCAAGCAGGTGTCACACACTATATCAGATTTTTTTAATACAGGTGTGCCACTGCCAAACTGAAGTCTTGCCCTTGTTCTCAATCAGTCTTTGGTTAATTGAGAATCACAGCAGAAATTTTGGACATTAGAGTCGATGCTCCAAATAGCACCGGGGAACGCAGTCTTCCTCAGCGTCTACAGCTCGAGGGGTGCAGGGTCATTAGGAGCAGCGTTACAGGGATGCTGACAGATGGTTTGGTGCTCCTAAAGTGCTAACAACCTTTGACACACATAGCAGCCCGCTGTCCATCCCTTCTGACCCCCCTTCATCATGTAAAGCTAAATACCACTTTGTCCAGGAGGTTTAAGGAGGGACTAAGTGTACTCAAAACTTCAATGCACCAAAACCCTTTCACCACCTTGACACTGTTGCCTTCTTTAAAATTATTATTGTATGGCATCCTGCATGCCCCCCGCAGTAGGAATGGCATCTGCAAAAACTATCATGCATGTCATTTATTCAAGGGGTGCTTAATGTTGTGAGAGGTGGAGGTGTTCAGCTACCAGCCAAGCTTCATAGTTTCTCTCCTGCTTTTTAACTACAAAATATTTTTACATCCCCTTTGAATAAAGTTTGAAGTTTTCAAAAAATTTCAAATTAAACCCTCACAAGGTTAAGATTTTAATATGCTATCATCATTTGTTGCATTTGTTGTGTTAGATTCAGGCCAGAAGAAGCTAACAAGTCAAGCTTGTGTGCATTGTTTTATTTGTGGCGTGTGTTTTGGGAATATTCATTATCTTTGGGCTTTATTGAATTCCAGCTCATCAGCCGTACGTTTGACAGACAACTGGCTGGCGTGTTTGCTTGTTCAACATAGAGGCAGCGATGTTGAAAAAGAGATCGCACCTCTTGTATGTTGTCATGTTTGTGTCGGCTCAACCCAGTTGCCGTAATCACCCACACTCCTCGAGCCCCCTCAGGGTTCCCGTTTTCTCTTTGCCATTAAATTGTGAAATCTACTTACTGTGTTGCCAGCCTGATCTCACTCAAGCTGCGTAATCTCCTTGTAATAGAGTGTGAATACTGCCCAGCGATAAATCAACACCTCATCAGTGCACTTTATTAAATATAGACACCAACAGACAGCTCTTAGTATATTCAATTTACCCTCTGACGTAGGCTTCAACACAGGAGATAAAGATAGATTGAGCAATCAGGTGGATGCTGAGGCCTGAACCCGGGTAGACGAGTGAGAGGAAGGTGGAAATACTTGAGGAAGAATGAGATGTGGTTCGATCGAAGGGAGCCAGGCAGTCAGGAGTGTCAGAAAAAGAGACATTCGCCAAATGTGCTGGCAGTTAGCAGCGTTTTGTTATCTTGTTGAATAAAACCGATAAAACGGCAAAAATTTTATCATTTGTGATGAGTTTCATGTGAGTCAGCCCTGATGTGCCTTTAAATAACCATTCATGGTGCGCCATCCCTCATTAAGCAATGTTACTCGATGGCAGAGAAGATAAATTATGTGTAATTGCCGCAATGATTAAAGCTTGATTCGTCCTGGTCTGTGGGGCTCAGCAGAGATATGTAAAGTCAGTATCGGCCAGTGGGACTCGAGGGACAGGCTGAAGACTTCTCTGCTGGGGTCGAGAGTGATAGGGTGCAGATTAAAACAAGGGGATTACCGTATTTAACGTTTCTCAGCCTCCCAACATTCACAGGCTGCCGGTCCAATCAGCCATTCTCCATCTCCTTACATTGGGGATAATAGGCCAGCTATCGGGTCAGATGTAGGCAAATGGGCGGTTCTCCTGAAAGCGAGCACTGGAGCGATTAATTTTCACCTTTTTCACCAAGCCAATTCAGTTTGTATTGACATGAATTTGTTCAATATGAAACAGCCTTTGTGTCATCAAATCRGTGAAAGCTTGCAGCAAACTAAACTGTTTGCGTTGCGCTGGATATCAGGTCAAATTATTTCTGTCGAGCACAGCAATTTCTTACCGAGCTGGTATTGATTAGATTTATCTGACACTGTCATGTAATTCTAAGAAGAATCACGGTCTGCGGCTTCGAGTCATGCGGATCCACGCAGACCTGCCTGCAAACGGCTTGTTGTGTCACGCTTCAAAATTAGGTAAATCTATACAAACTAGAGGTAGTTTGTATAGATTATCTCCCCTGCTCTTTTGTTTTTTGCAATCAGGCATCTGAACTGGATAAAAGCTTTGATAGGGGAAAAGCTCATGGCAGTATGATCATAAGTCCCAGTTTGAGGTTTGAATAAAAGACGTGCTGAACCTCTGGGGTCTTGTTAGGGGCAGTTTTACTTCAACTGGTGCCCGGAGAGCACTTGAGTTGGCTGAGGTGAGAGTGCCGCTGGGCAGACGTCTTCAGGGCCCGCTTGTCCTTCTGATAGCTGGCCATGATAGATCAGCCCACGTCCAGCCAGAATTACTCCCCTTCCTCTTTCTTTCTCCCAGCTCCTCTTCCCCTCATGCTTTTGGTCTTTCCTTTCTTTTTTTATCTCCCTCCTCTCTCGCCCATATCTTCTCTTTTATCCCCCATTTCTTTACCTCTCTCCCCTGCCATCTCCCCCCC